TTTTTTCCTTCCATTTTCCACAGCATCATTGTCTTCTCTAAGGTTTCCTTTCTTCTCATGATGTGGCCAAAGTACTTCATCTTGGCCTCTACTATTCTTCCCTCCAATGAGCAGTCAAGCTTTATTTCTTGAAGTATGGACTGGTTAGATCTTCTCGTTGTCCAAGGCACTCTCAGCATTTTCCTCCAACACCACAGTTCAAAAGCATTTATCTTCCTAAATAAATATCCCTCCCCCAAATACCCTTTGCCTCAAAATGCCATTTGGAGGCCCAGAGAGCCCACAAAACATGCTGGGGAATGTCCCCAAGTCCTCTAAAGAGTGTTTGAGGGTCAATATAATTAAGGATGCAACCCTCCAATATTTCTTGCGGACCTAATGCTGCCCCTCAATTTTCCGTAGTTACTCATGTCTCCTTCCCCTTTTCCATCTCAATGTTGTGCTTATTCTCCAATGGCTTGTTTCTTGATGGTTTTGCTTCTCTAAAAAAAAATCCACAGAGGCTGCAAATAAATCACTGAAATAATCCATAACCCTAATGTGTTAAACTTATCAACAACAACTTTTAAATTCATTGCTTTAATTGTAAAAACACCAAATGAGACTATTTCATCATTGTTCATTACACTCCCTTCATCATTCCAGATGATATTTTACAGTTTAATAATGTTTTGGGTTCAGTCAATGAATCAGTGTGTTAAGATCTACTGATTAGATCGTTTTAATGATTTAGTATCGATGCATTTCTGCCACCGTTGACTTCTCCAAGTTCTACTTTGCTCTCCTTTGGAGTTCACGCAGAGTGATGTTTCTCAAGGAGTGAATAGTGTATCTTATAGGCTGCCCTTTAATGGAGTGTAGTTGAAACTTAAAACCACATGCACCTCACCCAAAATTTTTGACTGGAAAAACATTTTTTCGGTCAAAAACCCACATGCATAGTATAAAAATCCCTTTATAGGGATATTGTATGCTTTTCTGGGGGCCTTTTCATCCAAGCACAATTCAGAGTGCTGGTCTTGACCTATAAAGCCCTATACGGTTCCAACCCAGCTTACTTGTCCGAAAGCATCTCCCCCTATGTCCCACCTCAAAGCTTATGATCTACCGGGGAGGCCCTGCTCTTGATGCCATCTCTGTCACAAACGCGCTTGGCGAGGATGAGAGACAGGGCCTTCTCAGTGGTGGCCCCTGCCTGTGGAACCCGCTCCCCAGCGAAATTAGGTCAACTGCTTCCCTCCTATCCTTCAGGAAAAAGCTGAAAATGTGGCTATGGGACCAGGCATTTGGACAGTAGGTTGATAAACGATGAAAATGCTATGGTAAATGGACTATGGACAGGCTTAGGACCAGGTTGTGGATTGTAGAACTCAGATTTAGATTTGGCCTATTAATTGAATTTGCACTATTTTTAATTGGTTTTAATTTATATTAATGTTTTATCTATTTTGTAATTGCTGTTTTATTTGTGTGTATATGAAAGGCATAGAATTGTTGCCAGTTGTAAGCCGCCCTCAGTCCCCCTTTGGGGGTAAAGAAGGGCGGGATAAAAATATTTGAAATAAATAATAATTAATAATAATTAAAAGAGCCATTGCCTTCCCAGAAACAAAAATGCATGAGGCTATGTGGCCATCAGATCTACAAAGGCTGCCCTCTGCAACTCTCAACCTATCAATAGTAAGCCCAACACTTAGTTAACAGTTGTGGCAGACATCCATCCAGTCGGTGAAAACAAGACCTGGGGCTGACTGTAGCTCAGATCACGAACTTCTTATTGCCCAATTTAGAATAAAACTAAAGAGATCAGGGAAAATGCACAGACCAGTTAGATATGATCTCACTAACATTCCTAGCGAATATACAGTGGAAGTGAAGAACAGATTTGAAGGACTAGATTTAGTAAACAGAGTCCCAGAAGAACTATGGACAGAAGTCCGAGACATTGTTCAGGAGGCGGCAACAAAGTACGTCCCAAAGAAAAAGAAAACCAAGAAGGCAAAATGGTTGTCTGCTGAGACACTGGAAGTAGCCCAAGAAAGGAGGAAAGCAAAAGGAAACAGGGATAGTAAGGGGAGATATGCCCAGTTAAATGCGCAATTCCAGAGGTTAGCCAGAAGAGATAAGGAACTATTTTTAAATAAGCAATGCATGGAAGTGGAAGAAGACAACAAAATAGGAAGGACAAGAGACCTCTTCCAGAAAATTAGAAACATTGGAGGTAAATTTCAGGCAAAAATTGGTATGATAAGAAACAAAGATGGCAGGGACCTAACAGAAGCTGAAGAGATCAAGAGAAGGTGGCGAGACTATACAAAAGATCTGTATAGGAAGGATAATAATATTGAGGATAGTTTTGACGGTGTGGTGAATGAATTAGAACCAGACATCCTGAGGAGTGAGGTTGAATGGGCCTTAAGAAGCATTGCTAACAACAAGGCAGCAGGAGATGACGAGATCCCAGCTGAACTGTTTAAAATCTTAAAAGATGATGCTGTCAAGGTGATGCATGCCATTTGCCAGCAAATATGGAATACACAAGAATGGCCATCAGACTGGAAAAAATCAACTTATATCCCCATACCAAAAAAGGGAAATGCGAAAGACTGCTCAAACTTCCGTACAGTGGCCCTTATTTCTCATGCCAGTAAGGTAATGCTCAAGATCCTGCAAGGAAGACTCCAGCAATACATGGAGAGAGAGTTGCCAGATGTTCAAGCTGGGTTTAGAAAAGGCAGAGGAACGAGAGACCAAATTGCCAATATCCGCTGGATAATGGAGAAAGGCAGGGAGTTTCAGAAAAACATCTACTTCTGCTTCATTGACTATTCTAAAGCCTTTGATTGTGTGGATCATAATAAATTGTGGCAAGTTCTTGGTGGGATGGGCATCCCAAGCCACCTTATCTCTCTCCTGAGGAATCTGTACAAGGACCAAGTAGCAACAGTCAGAACTGACCACGGAACAACAGACTGGTTCAAGATTGGGAAAGGCGTACGGCAAGGCTGCATACTCTCACCCAACCTTTTTAACTTGTATGCAGAACACATCATGCAATGTGCGGGGCTTGATGAATGCAAAGCTGGGGTGAAAATTGCTGGAAGAAACATTAACAACCTCAGATATGCAGATGACACCACTCTGATGGCCGAAAGCGAGGAGGAGCTGAGGAGCCTTCTAATCAAGGTGAAAGAAGAAAGCGCAAAAGCCGGGTTGCAGCTAAACGTCAAAAAAACCAAGATTATGGCAACCAGAATGATAACTCGGAAATAGAGGGAGAAAACGTGTAGGTAGTGACAGACTTTGTATTTCTAGCCCCAAAGATTACTGCAGACAAAGATTGCAGCCAGGAAATCAGAAGACATTTACTTATTTGGAGGAGAGCAATAACCAATCTTGATAAAATAGTGAAGAGTAGAGACATCACACTGGCAACAAAGTCGACTAGTCAAAGCCATGGTATTCCCTGTAGTAACCTACGGATGTGAGAGCTGGACCATAGGGAAGGCTGAGCGAAGGAAGATAGATGCTTTTGAGCTGTGGCGTTGGAGGAAAGTTCTGAGAGTGCCTTGGACTGCAAGAAGATCCAACGAGTCCATCCTCCAGGAAATAAAGCCTGGCTGCTCATTGGAGGGAGGGATACTAGAGACAAAGTTGAAGTACTTTGGCCACATCATGAGGAGACAGCGAAAGCCTAGAGAAGACAATTATGCTGGGGAAAGTGGAAGGCAAAAGGAAGAGGGGCCGACCAAGGGCAAGATTAATGGATGGCATCCTTGAAGTGACTGGACTGACCTTGAGGGAGCTGGGGGTGGTAACGGCCGACAGGCAGCTCTGGCGTGGGCTGGTCCATGAGGTCACGAAGAGTCGGAGACGACTGAACGAATGAACAACAACAACAACAATAATTACAGTTCATATTCTCAAGTTGTTAAGTTTGCATCAAAATTCTGCATCTATAGATTTGCAGAATGCAGAGCACTCAACAACCATTGGGTGCCCAGTATATGTATATACTGCATATGTTGAGTTGCTGTGAGTTTTTTGGGCTGTATATGTTGTGGGGTTACATTCTAGGACTTCATGTAAATATGCAAAATCGCAGGTAGTATTGAAGTGGTGGATTTATGAGCTGAGAACCCAGGGCTGTGACAGATGGTCTCAAGGGCAATAAATCCACCACTTCAGTATTGAATGAATTACTGCCGGTGGAAGCATACCATAAAATTGTGCTGGACGCCATAAGACATGCCTAGGAATCCCTCTAGCCATAACTATATCTTCCAACATGACTTTATGGCCAACCTTTGGTGGAACCATACCATAAAGTCATGTTAAAAATCCTTGAAAATGACGTATTTTGTCAAATGTGGGAAAGCAAAATCTGATCCCACAGATATGTGTGTGGGGGTGTGTTATACTTATTTATTTATCATGTCATGGGCAACCAGACAATTGTATTACATTTCTAACAGAACAAAACAAACAAACAGACAGACAAAACACAAAGTTTGCAAGCTTGGTAGTTGATTTAATGTCCTTAGACCAGTATCTCGCCACTTGGAGTGCCTCTGGTGTTGCCGCAAGAAGGTCCTCCATTGTGCATGTAGCAGGGCTCAGGTTGCATCATGGCAGATTGTGTGTAGTTTGCTCTTCTCCACACTCATATGTTGTGGAGTCCACTTTGTAGCCCTGTTTCTTAAGGTTGGCTCTGCATCTTGTGGTGCCAGAGTGCAGTCTGTTCAGCGCCTTCCAAGTCGCTCAGTTTTCTGTGTGCCCAGGGGGGAGTCTCTTATTTGGTATCAGCCATTGGTTGAGGTTCTGGGCTTGTGCCTACCACTTTTGGACTCTCACTTGCTGAGGTGTTCCAGCGAGTGTCTCTGTAGATCTTAAAAAACTATGTCTTGATTTAAGTTGTTGTGCTATACTGTATGTTGGGAAATGCCAAAGTGCCTTTGCTTTGTCTTACTTTTCTTTCCTGCCTTGTGCTTCTTTTGCAGTGCTGGACAAGAGCCTGGTGGCCAGTTGCAAAGACTCCATTGGCTGGATGTTCTCCAAGCTGGACACCAACAGCGACCTTTTCCTGGACCAGACCGAGTTGGCAGCCATCAACCTGGACAAATACGAGATATGCATCCGGCCTTTCTTCAATTCCTGTGACACCTACAAGGACGGGCGCGTCTCCACCGCAGAGTGGTGCTTCTGCTTCTGGAGAGAGAGTGCGTCAACCCAAGGTTTCCTTCTGAAAGCGACGTGGTGTTTTGTGTTTGTAGCTTTCAGCCGGTTGGGTATTGTCATTCCATATGGAGTGCTAATCATTGTAGTAGACACTTGAAGACACGCACCGGCTGTCAAGTTGACTGAATGCTTCTCCCACTCATTCATTTATGACACTGCTGCTGTCGGGTTTCTGGGAACAAAGCTAAGGGCTTCTTGACAGATATTAATGTGTTATGATGGTGCCGTGTTTCAGTTGGTTCAAGCAGAAACCCCAAACAGTAGTAATAATACAATGCTGAGTATTTAATCTTAACAGCAATCTGTTTTGTTTATTTACTTGCAGTTTTTCTATACTACCACTCAGGACCAATCCTCCCCACTTTTGCAAGGTGGTTCACACTGAGAAAACAGTGCAATATAAAAAAATGATGAAAACATGCTAAAACATTCATGCAGCCGCAATAATAAAAGAGATAGTAAAGAAGGGAGGCTTGCATTCATTTTTGACCAGCCTTAAAAACCAGGTCTTTAGGGACCCTTCCAGACAGGCCCTATGTTCCAGGATCTGATCCCAGGTTTTTTGTTTATCCCAGATTATCTGGCAGTGCAGACTCATATAATCCAGTTTAAAGCAGAAAACCTGGGATCAGATACTGGAATATAGGGCTTGTCTGGAAGGGCCCTTGGAAAGCTAGGGAAGGAGGCCATGCACACATCCCAAGGAAGGAATGCTGTAAGGACTGGGCCACCATCCTTGGCTCCATCGACACTACCATATAATGCAGTTCCAGAATGCAGTTTAACTGCATGGTATAGCATTATGGTTTTATTATCAGGGAATGTGAGCCTGGTTGTTGGAGCTGTTCTCAGGGTCTCGGTTTCTTCATATTTGTGCAAAATACAAGGGTTGCATGAAAGGTAATGCCTCCACCTTCATAACTCTTCCACAGATGGCAGTACTGGTATGCGGCGGGTACTGGCTTGTTCAGTAGACTCTCATCTACAGTTCCATTTTGGCAGGAAGTCTTAGCATTGAATGGTTGTGTTGTTAAAGTGTGAAGTATGGAACTCTAAGCAGACAGTCGGTCAATCCTACTTAAGCAATGTGCAGTCATTGAATTCTTGACAGCAGAAGGTGTCACCCCAAAGGAGATTCATCAGCGAATGCAAGCTGTTAGTGATGATTGTGTTGATGTGAGTACTGTGCATCGTTGGGCGAGTAAGTTTAAAGATGTTGAGGTGGGAACATCTGACCTGCATGACAAGCAAAGAGTTGGACATCCTGTGACAGCAAGCTCCGAGTTTCATAAGCAAAAGTTTGACAGATTGATTCAGGATGATCGTCGTATCACTCAGAGAGAAATTACAAGCATAATCGGCATTTCACAAGAATGTGTGGGTCACATTATTGCTTTGCTTGGCTATCGGAAGATCTGTGCACAATGGGTTGCAGAAACAGAGTGCTGACTTCTTCCATGACTGCTTCAGAAAACATGTTTATCATTGGCAGAAATGTATCCAATTGTCTGGTTATTATGTAGAAAAGTGAATAGTGGTAGTTAAAGAGCACGTTCTAAGGATTATTTCTGCATTTGATTTATTAAAATATTCCCATCCAAACTCAAATAGCAAAGGTGGAGGCATTACTTTTCATTCAACCCTCGTATATTAGTTGAACAATCCTTTACACAGGACTAGAAAAGAGGCAAAGGTTATGCAAGCTGCATGTGCTCCCCAGGGTCATTTCGATGGCCCCTACAGCTTCCCTTGAGTCAGTCCTTTGAAGACAATTGCCCTAAATGCACTCTCTCGATTGTGTGGGGCTTTTGCCACATTCTAGCACTTCTCTGGCCATTTTAGACCCATTTTGTAAACTGGAAGTGTACAAGACATGGTTTCCAGGCATGCCTAGGCTGAAATATTCTGACATGGTTTGACAACACTTGTATGGATGGACTGTTTCCTTTGGATTTTACAGAGCCTCCCTGCCTGGTCGAACTGGAGAGGATTCAGATCCAAGAAGCAGCAAAAAAGAAACCTGGTGAGTCATGGAAATGTGGACTTGGGCAACATATATTCATGGGTTGGTGGAGCAGATTGGTGGAAGTGTTCTTATTCTCCCTTTGAAGCCGGTAGAAGCTTTGGAAGGGTCCCCTCCCAGGAGGAGGGACCCTGGGACCGCACCAAAGAGCGTCCGCTACTTTGGCAAGCCAGAGAAGCTTGATTTCAGCAATTTTATTTAGATTAAAATTCAAAATAAAGCTCACCAAAGTTGAAGAAGTGGCACCGAGGCGTTTATTAGCGATTCAGCTGAAAAGGATGCTATGTAGCAATAATTCACCTACAAAGCATGAGGAGAATACACCAATGCAGTCATATTTATAGTAAATTCAAAGTTGCAGAGTTCAAACTTCCCGCAGCAGCCTCCCTGCTGCCCTCCACCGTGATTGGACGATAGGCAAACAGCTGGGAGGCGACCCTCCCGCCCCCGGTGCCTCTAGGACCAATCAGGATGCTCCAGTGGTCCATAGGATCCAATGGGGAGACCTCTGCTGCCTGGTGGCGACAGCAAATCAAGAGAGAGGGAGGCGGGACAATAGAACACAAAGGAATCTGTGAATGAGTCTTTAAAAAAAGGAAATATCATGTGGCCTGCGAGACAAAAAGCTCAAGCAGGGCTGACCTATTGTGTTTTGAGTGTTGTAAATCAACATGTGTAAAAATATCCAGATCCTTCCTGGCTGTGAGACAGGAGAACAATGTTGGCAGCCTGGGGTTAATGCTATCAATGGGAAGTAAACAAAAAGCAGAGGGGAAGATTTCCCCTTATCTTACTTGAAGAGTAATAGAAACTTTGCCAAACAATTCTTTACTCTAGTGGGCCATCTCCGATGCTAGAGATAAGAATCTCCTTTTATTATCCATGCAAGTGTGTCTTTGGCTGGAGGTTTCGGTAATCGCTAATGGCTTTTGTTTCTGAAGGCCAGGTGGTTCCCTTACATATTTCTTTGGAGGGAGAAGGGGACAAAGGGTCAGGCTAGGGTCAGGAATACAAGGAAACATAAAAATCATATAGAAATTATACACAGGGAAATCATATGCAGGTATCTTCCCATCCAGGACCCCAGAGAGGAATTAATAATACCAATTATAAAAGCAGACGATATCAGGACACAGCATGAATTCATAAGTCATTCCTTGAAGAAAGTTCATGGGCAAAGAGTGAGCCCTTGGGGAGAGTGAAGTCCAGAATAGGGGCAGAAACCAATAAATCATGCAAAGAATCAATTGAGTTCCACTGAGCCAAAGGATGGAGTTCTGCAGAGCTGAGAACGAAGCAGGTCCTTGGTCCTTGGGGAAACTACAGCTCTCGAGCGAGGCAGAGACCCCAAGGTCTAGCCGTTCCCAAAGTCCCGTGGGGTCCTCATTGCTGTTAGTGTCTTGGCAAATTGACCAAGACTTAACCCCTATTATGCAGTCTGGTACCCTTGTCCTTTGCAGAACTATAAGTTACCATACCTTGTTGGGGGGGGGGCATGCTCAACTTCACCTTAACAGTTTAAAAGGTACGTATATCAGTGCTAGTATGTGGCTGGGACATGAGAGAATCCTCCCACAGGATGGTAAAACATCCGGGCATCCCCTGGGCAACATCCTTGCGGACGGCCAATTCTCTCATACTAGAAGGAACTTACAGTTTCTCAAATTGCTCCTGACACATAAAAAGGTATATTTCCATATACAGTGGGCACTTAATGTCCACTGGGGTTTGGTTCCGGGACTGCTTCTGGGTCCCAAAATCTGTGGGTGCTCACCGCCCTTTGTATATAACAATATAGCAGAATGGCAGCCATTATGTCTATATCAAATGGTAAAATCAAGGTTTGCTTTTCAGAATTTTTACAGCAGTGATTTCAAACCATAGATGGTGAAATCCATGGATGCAGAAATTGTGGATATGACTATACTATTATTATTAACTTTATTTGTACCCCACTAACATCTCTCGAAGGACTCGTTGCGGCTTACAAAGGCCAAGGCCCTCAATAAAACAACAGCATAACAAATACAACACTAAAACTCATAAAGCAAATCAATAAACATTAAATCAGTAACAAATACTAGGGATACTATACTATACTATACTAGGTTTCTTGGTTCTGCTGATTAATAACAGCTTATATTTGAGCATAAAGTGGGTCAGAATTCAGATTAGAACATGGCTATACATTATGAAACACGTAGAATTAATTACTCTGCTTATGACTATATTTGTCTGCATCTGTGTGCTTGGGTGTTAAACATTCAGAGTGCTCCATATTAGGCTTGGGCAATCCTTGGTTCTAAATGGTTCTAAAGTACTTACAAAACTAAAGTTCTGGTGGTGAAAATTTCAGAACTCTAACAAAACTCTCAAAATTTCATAATAAATGGCAGTTCCTAATTGGTTCTGTCATTAAAATCACCAATAATGAAATAATAATTAAATTTTGAAAGTTTTGTTAGAGTTCTGAAATTTTCACCACCAGAACTTTAGTTTTGTAAGTACTTTAGAACCATTTAGAACCATGGATTGCCCAAGCCTACTCCATATACATCATATTGCAACAGAACATAAATCAGAATGCATAAGTATTTATTTATTTATTTCATATCAAAAGCATTGCATAAATTAGTATACAACTGGGGGGAAAAATAGAAGGAGCACTAGCAGTTAAATATCTTTTGACCAAAAACGGGCAACAGCAATGGCATTGTCTGTAACCTCCAACAATTCTTCCTCTGTACATGAGGCAGGGCATAGTGGACAAGCATACAGATGTGGAGTTGTCTGTTCTGCTCCACAGTCACACAAGGTGTGGGATTCTTTTAGGTAGTGCCATTACAAACAAATTCAGCTTAAGAACAAATGTACAGAATCTATCTTGTTCATAACTTTAGGACTGCTTGCATATTCCCCACTGAAATAAGGCTGCTAAAAGGAACAATGCTAACTAGAAATGGCATTTTTATGTGAATGTATGGTGTACATTCCCTTTTAAAAATTCCTCAGGTTTAAAATGTACTCAGGGGCATCTTGTTCTTTAATTCTGATAACACGCCCTTTGTGTCTGGCTCTGGCTGATAGATCTTCTTTTTAAAAAGGATCAGATCAGACAAGCATACATCACTACATTCCCTATAAGAGTCATCTAAAGCAGGCTGTCTTCTTTTGATCATTTTGCAGCAGGGGCAGGGAGCATTGGTGCTGAGAGCTTGCACAAATGTCCGTCTGAAAGAAAGACAGAGGACATGTAGGCGCCACCATCACCAGATGGTTAGACATGTTGTTCATCCATTACTTAGAGGTGAAAAATCTGCCAGCTATGGAATTTCTCAATCTCCCACCGGTGCTCTCATTCCATTGCATTTAAATATCAGATTGCAAGGATCCGTCCAGCTAGCCTGTGTCAGTGTACATGTTTCAAAACATGCACTTTCTTACATGAATGTTTTTTTCTAATGTAGACATATTAATACATCTCAAACACCATTATTGATTATATTTGAAATGTATACATTTTAGCCTTGCATGTGCATAGAGGCACATTTTCTCCCCTACAAAACACTCAACAAGTCTTATCTATGTACACTGCTTGAACACCAAGCACAAAGTAGCTGCATGCAATAACATCCTGTGGAAACTTACTGGCAGTGTTCTGTCGCACACTGGGCTTGAAATGAAATGCCTTGAAATGACATGCAGCTTGAGCTTGAAATGACATGCTTGAAATGATATGCAGCTTGAGCCCAGTGGGAAGCCAGGGGCCCCAAAGAGAAGCTCTTAGGGATTTTCCACCACAAACAGTCTTTAGAGGGCTTGTGAAATATAACAAAGTCTTTTATTGAAGAACAATCAAACAGAAACTTCTCTTGTCTTCAAAAAGTTAAACAAATGCTTCCAGACTTTTGTACAACTGGTGGCTTCTAACTGTTACTTTACTTTAAAGGAAAATCCCTTTCTAACTTCTCCCAGGCTGTGAACCTAAACCTAACTGATGTGGGCTCCACTACCGGTTTGAACTGCGTCTCAAAGCACCGAGTGGACCTACCAGCAAGGCCTGTAGTCTCTTCAGCTGGAGTTCTTTGATATTCAAAGCTGTTTTTTCCTCCGAAATTCCTCAGAGCTTTAGGGCTGTTTCCCTGGAAATCTTTGGGAATCTTTGGATGCTCTTAAGACTATTTTCCCCCGGAAAGTCTTAAGGGTTGAAGCTTTTGCACAGGAGAATCCTGTACACGTCCTGTACATTAGTTATCCTTGCTGAGACTGACCAAAATGGTTCCTATCCCTCTCAGAGCCTGAACAGGGGGCGGAACCAAAGCTTAATGATGATGGACAGGTGGCCTGCCCTATAACTGCAAGCTTTAACAGGAAGCCACCCTTCTGCAGAATCCCAAACCTTGGACTGCAAGCAAATATTTAATACAAAGCAAATAAAGCTGGAGCTTCTGGTACAGCCGTACCAGCACAGGCAGCACATGGTGTAGACCCAAATTTAGTAAGAGTATCAGCCCTAGCCTTGTCTTACTCAACTGCCAAGTATGCTTGCCCTGTTTGGCATAGGTCTGCCCATGAAAAGCAGGTGAGCATAGCATTGAATGAAACATGCAGAATAATCACAGGATGTCTTAAACCTACATCTGTTAATAAACTCCACAAGCTAGCTGGCATTGCCCCCCGCCCCCCGATGTGCAACAGGAAGTTGCTGCTAAATGTGAGAGAAATAAGGTTGAACACTGTGAAAGCCACCCACTACATGGCTACCAGCCTCCTCCCAGTGGACTCAAGTCAAGGAAAATTTATTTATTTATTTATTTCAGGCACTTCTACCCCTCCCTTCTCAACCCCTGAGGGGGGACTCAGGGCGGCTTACAACTGGCACAATTCGATGCCAACAATTCAACAGATAAAATACATAACAGCAATAGCCACAATAGTTAAAAACAATCAATTAATACAATAACAACTAAAAAGCCAATCTAGTGGTCAAACGTTCACTGAGTTCTAAAATCCGTAAGTCCATTCAGCATTACCATAGTCCTTTCCAAATTCTGGTCGTCATTACCTTGTCAGTCTGCCAGATTACCCAAAAGCCTGGTCCCATATCCATGTTTTCAGCTTCCTTCTGAAGGAGAGGAGGGATGTTGATGACCTAATTTCCCCGAGGAGTGAATTCCACAGGCGAGGGGCCACCACTGAGAAGGCCCTGTCCCTCGTCCCTACCAGCCTCACTTGTGATAGAGGCGGGGCCGAGAGCAGAGCCTACCCAGAAGATCTTAAACTCCGAGGTGGGACATAGAAGGAAATACGTTCGGACAGGTACGCTGGGCCGAAGCCGTATAACTTTATGAGAACTACCACTCCTCTTGGCATCCCCCTAGCAACAGCCAACAGGCAACAGCCCTGGGCAGCTAAACCAGGAAACCCCAACTGGATGCCCCCCCCCCCCCCCGAGGGTCTTCCTTCAGGGGCAAACCAAGAATGGGCAACTTGGAAGACACTGAACAGACTCAGAAGTGGAGTGGGCAGATCAAAAGGCAACCTGGCAAAATGGCACTACCTAAAAGAATCTCACACCTTGTGTGACTGTGGAGCAGAACAGACAACTCCGCATCTGTATGCTTGTCCACTATGCCCTGCCTCATGTACAAAGGAAGAATGGTTGGAGGCTACAGACAATGCTATTGCTGTTGCCCGTTTTTGGTCAAAAGATACTTAGCCGCCTGGGCTCCTTCTATTTTTGTATCAGTTTTATACTAATTTATGCAATGCTTTTGATATGAAATAAATAAATCTATGTACAGATCCATTTCCATTTCAATATCAGTTCTGAGTTCCTTCCCCATCCCTATAGATAATAATAATAATAATAATAATAATAATAATAATAATAATAACACTTTATTTGTACCCCGCTACCATCTCCCCAAGGGACTCGGTGCGGCTTACATGAGGCCGAGCCCGAACACAACAATACAAGCAATAATCACAACAATACAAGCAATTAAAATAAAACATAAACATATAACATTATCGATAAGACAAGTTCCTATGATGCAAGCTGAATTAGGAGCCAGCGGTTTGCAGTCTTGAATGTAATGCAATACTACTCTTGATTCCACATACAATGCATGAAAAGCGCAGTCCCCTTGAGCTAAACTGGATTTTTAATGCCAGGCTTATTTATTTATTTATTTATTTATTTATTTACTCCATTTGTATACCGCATTTATCAGCCTGGACGGCGACTCAATGCGGTTTACAATAAAAATGGGCAACACTGACAGTAAATAAGACACACATACACAAACAACACACATATAGTCATCAACGCCTCAATTAGAATCAGATCCCGTTCTCACAGTCCTTTTTCGTTCCTTGTTCAAAATGCCGTCTTACTGAGTTAGTTGTCATTGCATAGTTATCCGAACGCCTGTTCATAGAGCCACGTCTTAACCCTCCTCCGAAACACCAGCAACGAAGGGGCCTGCCTGATGTCCACTGGTAGGGCATTCCATAGCCGAGGGGCCACCACCGAGAAGGCCCTGTCTCTCGTCCCCGCCAACCGCACTTGTGACGCTGGCGGGACCGAGAGCAGGGCCTCCCCGGACGATCTTAACGTCCTAGCCGGTTCATAGGTGGAGATGCGTTCGGAGAGGTAAGTGGGGCCGGAACCGTGTAGGGCTTTATAGGCTAAAGCCAGCACCTTGAATTGTGCCCGGTAGCAAATTGGCAGCCAGTGGAGCTTATGTTTGCTTCCTGTCATACTTTCACTGTATTTAGGGAACATTTCATTTTTTATGACCCGTGTCACTGGTCTCTAGATAAACTATTATTTTATTGTGCTACACCTCTGTATTTCACCCCGTGGTGAGCTGATTTCAGCAGTTCAATCAGGCTTGACATGTTTTCAAAGAGACCTGCTTAGAAATAATGACGTGAGTGGTGGGTGGCTGGAAAAAATCGTTTTTAGGTAAGTTGAGAAAGGCTTCAGTCCCCATCGTTTGACGCACACGTTTCTAATGTCCCACTGTTTTGGTGGACTTTTTAAAATTGAGTCAGTGTGATATACAGTAATAGTTTGAGTGTTAGGTTAAGACTCTCAGAAGCCAGGGTTTGAATCCCTGCTCAACCATGGAAACCTACTGGGTGACCTTGAGGAGATCACTCTCTCAGCCTCAGAGGAAAGCGTTGGTATCCTCCCCTTCCTCAAATAATCCTACCATGAAATTCCCTTGATAGGTTTCCCTCCTGCAGTTGCCCTGATTTATGATCACCATATCTCAGAATGACTTGAAATACAACAGAGCTTGTACAATGTACAAAACATGCAAAACCTGTTTACAAGACATAAAGTGTTTTTACAAGCCACCTAGATAAGTATGTACATGCCTGATTTTTTCTAAAGTACCGGTAAATATGTGGTAGTGCAGCGGGTTAAACTGCTGAGCTGCAGAACTTACTGACTGAAAGATCGGCGGTTTGAATCTGCAGAGTGGGGTGAGATCCCACTATTAGCCCCAGCTTCAAAACATACAGATGGTTCGTTTGTCTGTCTATTTGGTTCGTGATTTTATCTTTGTATTTATAAATCTAATAAAAACTATTTTAAAACAAAACATACAGATGTGAGGAGAACAAACCCTATGAGGAGCGACTTAAAGATCTGGGCATGTTTAGCCTGGAGAAAAGAAGGCTGAGAGAAGACATGATAGTCATGTATAAATATGTGAGAGGAAGTGACAGGGAGGAGGGAGCAAGCTTGTTTTCTGCATCCTTGGAGACTAGGATGCAGAACAATGGCTTCAAACTACAAGAAAGGAGATTCCATCTGAACATTAGGAAGAACTTCCTGACTGTGAGAGCCGTTCATCACTGGAATTCTCTGCTCCGGAGTGTGGTAGAGGCTTCTTTTTGGAAGCTTTTAAACAGAGGCTGGATGGCCATCTGTCGGGGATGCTTTGAATGCAACTTTCCTGCTTCTTGGTAGGGGGTTGGACTGGATGGCCCATGAGGTCTCTTCCAACTCTATGATTCTACAGTATGATTCTATAATAGGTACTACTACAGTGAGAACATAACAGAACGTTATGCTCTCATGCCAGCCACATGATCTATGAGGCGTCTATGGACAACGCTGGCTCTTTGGCTTAGAAATGGAGATGAGCACCACCCTCCAGAGTCAGACACGACTAGACTTAATGTCAAGGGGAAACCTTTACCTTTTCCAGTAATATATTTTGCAATGTCCTCATTGGGCTCCATTTCAATCAACGTTTGCTTCTGGTTTTATTTCCCAGGGGCCTTTATCCCCAGCTGTGATGAAGATGGATACTATCGCAAGATGCAGTGTGACTCGAGTAGTGGGGAGTGTTGGTGTGTGGACCATCTTGGTACAGAGTTGACGGGAACACGGATGCACGGGAATCCAGACTGTGGTAAGAGATGTGGGCAAAGAGAAGGAGGTGTCACATTGCTATGGCTCTGCCTTATTTAGGTAGAGATGACTCAAACTCCCAGTTTTAACAAACAGTTTAATTAAAACAGCACTTACTTGCTGGCTGTTTTTATAGTCCAAAATATAAAACACACACAGCTACAGAATAAACAAAAACTGATAGCAAAAATAACTTCGTAGTCAAAAGGGTCCAGTCCAATGGTCAAATGCCGAGAGTTCAATAAACAAAGTCCAGGGATCAAGAGTCTATACCGTAGTCAAAAGCCAGTCCAAACGTTCAAGGTTCCAGGATTCCAAGATTACAGGAGACAGGTCAGGACACCAAAAAATCCAACAGACCTGGGGGGGAAACCAGCAGCATTCCACCACCAAAATACAACAGATACTTTTCTCCCAAAGATCAGTCCCAAGGTTACCTCCTTAAATCCAGTAACACCCAGCTGCAACCCATCTCCTGCACACCTCCACCCCTAATTGCTTTCACCCATAAACTCCCACTTACAGATCACCAAACCCTCTAGAACTAATATTCACATTAACCTTTCCATCACCAACCACCATCAACTGCAGACCATATGACAGGAGGGCAAAGAAAAGGGTATCTGTATTACAAGGATGACATGCAGTCTCCAGTGTTCCCATTCTGTGTCCCAGCCTGCCACTTAGCCCTCACCCCTTTCATAATTTTCCCTTCCAGTTCCCATCCATCTAGTTTTCTTTTCAGCCAGCATTGTGGTGGAAACTCAACCCTGTATTTTTGCTACAGGCTATTGTTTTAAATCCTTGTTTACAATTTTCCCCCCTGAAAGATCATGTGTATGATATAACTTTTGTGCACCTTAAGGCATTCAATGCCTTGTTGATTTTGCCTTCTTCCCAACTGGTTTTCACAACTCAAGAGAATAAGCTCGCTGTTTATATTAGTGATTAAGAAGGTTACTGCAACCCTCACAACCTTCCCAAACTGGAAAGGCCTTCTGTGTCATAAATGGATGGATATAAGAGGTAATTTTAGTAATTGGTGCTTGTCAAACAACCAAGTAACAAGCGAGACTTTCTGAAACCATGCTACGCAAGCGTTAAAGTGCAGGAGATCTTGCCAGTTTTCACTCTGGCAATGCAATGTAAGGAGTATGGAAACTACCAACTCTTTTTTGTTCTAGGTGTGAATCTAGGCTTGGTTGTGTTCTAGGCTTGTTCTAGGCTTGGTGGATCAAGAGGTTATGATGTTTATTTTGTTTCGTGCTTCCCCTGATCAATTGCATATCCAAAGCAGCCTCTTTTGTAAGAAGAAGGATTAAGAGACTTACACTATCTTTTATAATTCACCTCCTTCCAAAATATACATCAACTGCAGAGTTGCAATAGCAAGTAGATGCCAAGTCGCCAGTATCCTGCCATCCAAAAAGTGGGGTTGCTGTGATTTTTTTGGGCTATATGGCGATGTTGCAGTAGCATTCTCTCCTGACGTTTCACCAGCATCTCTGGCAGGCGTCCTCGGAGGTTTGTTCAGAGGTCTATTGGAAGTGAAGAAGTAATGTGGTATAAGATCTTAAAATTGGAAAATAACGTAGTATCAAATATCTATAATATATTACTTACCTGGCTGACTGAAAAAGAACAGGTTAAAAACTGTGATAAAATGGGTGCAAAATCTAAGAAGACCAATTCAATTGAAAGAGTGGGAACAAATGTGGAACGAAAAATTAAAATATACATATGCAACGGATTTAAAAGAGAATTGGATAAAAATGTACCACACCAAAACAAATAGCTAAAATGTATAAAACGGTTTCTGATAAATGTTGGAAATGCTCAGATCAAGATGGCTCCTTTTACCATATGTGGTGGACATGTAAAGAAGCAGTAAAGTTTTGGATGAAAATTCATGAAGAAACACAAAAGATTTTAAAAAGAACCTTTATAAAAAAAACGGAGTATTATCTGTTAGGATTTACAGATTTAGATTTACAATTGATGGAACAAGAAGATAAACTAGGTTCTTGTGGGTTTTTTCGGGCTATAGAGCCATGTTCTAGAGGCATTTCTCCTGACGTTTCGCCTGCATCTATGGCAAGCATCCTCAGAGGTTGTGAGGTCTGTTGGAAGTAGGAAAAATGGGTTTATATATCTGTGGAATGGCTGGGGTGGGGCAAGGAGCTCTTCCCTGCTGCAGTTAGGTGTGAATGTTTAGCTGATCACCTTCATTAGCATTTGAAGGCCTGCCTGAGCCTGGGAAAATCTGTTGCTGGGAGGTGTTAATCTGTGCCTGGTTTTTTCCTCTCTGTTGTTTAGCTGTTATAATTTTAGAGTTTTTTAATACTCTAAAAAACTTAATACTCTAAAATACTCTAAAAAATTAAATACTCTTTAATACTCAAAAAAATTAAAAATTAAAAATTATAACAGCTAAACAACAGAGAGGAAAAAACCAGGCACAGATTAACACCTCCCAGCAACAGATTTTCCCAGGCTCAGGCAGGCCTTCAAATGCTAATGAAGGTGATCAGCTAAACATTCACACCTAACTGCAGCAGGGAAGAGCTCCTTGCCCCACCCCAGCCATTCCACAGATATATAAACCCATTTTTCCTACTTCCAACAGACCTCACAACCTCTGAGGATGCTTGCCATAGATGCAGGCGAAACGTCAGGAGAAATGCCTCTAGAACATGGCTCTATAGCCCGAAAAAACCCACAAGAACCTAGTGATTCCAGCCATGAAAGCCTTCGACAATACAATTCTTTGATGTCTCCTGAATTGCTCATGTTTAACTAAAAATAATTACCGAGTCCCACCCATACAGGACTGGGTGGAGAAAATTAGAGAAATAAAGGATATGGACGAATTGCCTTTTTTGTTGAAGAAAAATACAGGCAAGATGATGAGAAGAATGAATTGGGACGATCTTCAAGACTATCTGGACAATGGGAGAAAATAAAAAACAAGAGAGACAATTTTACTATCTTTTTTCTTATTTTAGTAAGGAAAATATTTTTTGAGTAATAAGAAAATAATAACCAATTATTATTATTATTATTATTATTAAACTTTATTTGTACCCCGCTAGCATCTCCTGAAGGACTCAATGCGGCTTACAAAGGCCGAGGCCTCAACATAACAACAACATAAAACAATACAATTCAAAGCAAATCAAAAACATAAAGCAATATCAACAAAACATTACATCATAAACACAGTAAAACCAAGGCCGGGCCAAGTAGTGGGTACAGATTAAAAAGTGCTGGGTGTGATAGGCGGCATATTGGATTTCAGGGCAATGTGCAGAGGATCTTAAAACTCTAATAAAGTGCTTCTGGGACATAGTGCTGAAGTTTCCTATTCTGGGAAGGCACATCGGAACAGCCAGGTCTTCAAACTCTTCCTAAAGCCTGCCAACGTGGGTGCTAATCTGATATCTTTGGGGAGGGTGTTCCAAAGTTGGGGGGCAACCACAGAAAAGGCCCTATCCGTCGTCCCCACCAACCGTGCTTGTGACGCCGGTGGGATCGCAAGCAGGGCCTCCCCAGATGAACGAAGGGAGCGCGTGGGTTCATAGATGGAGATGCGGTCACGCAGGTAGGCAGGTCCCAAACCGTTTAGGGCTTTGTAGGTAAGCACCTGCACCTTGAATTGGGTTCGGTAGGTAAACGGCAGCCAATGGAGCTCCTTAAACAGGAGGGTTGACCGCTCTCTGTAAGGGGTGCCAGTTAACATCCTGGCCGCCGCTCGTTGAACCAGTTGGAATTTCTGAGCCATTTTCAAGGGCAGCCCCACATAGAGCGCATTACAGTAATCCAGTCTAGAGGTGACCAAGGCATGGACCACCCCGGCCAAATCAGCCTTTGTGAGGTACGGTCGCAGCTGGCGCACGAATCTTAGTTGTGCAAAAGCCCTCCCGGACACCGCTGACGCCTGAGCCTCAAGCGTAAGTGATGAATCCAAGAGGACTCCCAAACTGCGGACCTGTGACTTCAGGGGGAGTGTAACCCCATCCAGCACAGATTGCCACCCTATACCCCGATCCAGTTTACGATTGACCAGGAGGACCTCTGTCTTGTCGGGATTGATCTTCAGCTTGTTCGTCCTCATCCAGACAGCCACAGCGGCCAGACACTCGTCCAGCACTCGAGGGGCCTCCTTGGAATTAGATGGAATTAGTTGGAAGAAGATGGAATGGAAGTATTTATTTATTTATTTGGAGTGCTTCTACCCCGCCCTTCTCAACCCCCTAGGGGGGGCTCAGGGCGGCTTACAAAAGGCACAATTCGATGCCCAACAGTTCACTTAATACAAAATACAATATAACGAAAACAGTTATAACTAGTTAAAAGTCACCTCTTTGTGTGTGTGTGTGTGTGTTTTATGTTTTTGCCTTTTTTTTCTCTATTTTGCTTTTTGTGGGAGTATTTTTGTAGAATGTGTTTTTATCTTATCTCTTTTTTTCTTTTTCCTCACTTTCCTATACTTTATTGATCTCACTCTTTTGTTGTATTCTTTATAAAACCTAATAAAATTATTTTAAAAAAGGAAATGAGGCAAGTGAAGTGAATATATATATATATATATATATATATATATATATATATATCTGTGGAATGTCCAGGGTCGGAGAATGAACCCTCATCTGTTTGAAGCAACTGTGAATGTTGCAGTTAGCAAGCTTGAATAGCATTGAGTAGCCGTGCAGCTACAAAGTCAATCAGTGAGGGTATTTGCATAGAGGGAAACACATGCTCCCATTCTGGTGAATGGGAACTATATTCTCATTTCAATTTGAAACAAGGGCAGCATAATTGCCTATTAGTGCCATTGTCTCCCATCAGCAGCCAGGTCTTAGATCTACAGAGACACTCGCTGGAACACCTCAGCAAGCTAGAGTCCAAAAGTGGAAGGCCCAAACCCAGCACCTCAATTCATGGGTGATACCAGATGAGAGACTCCCTCCTGGGCACACAGAAGACTGGGCGACTTGGAAGGCGCTGAACAGACTGCGCTCTGGCACCACGAGATGCAGTGCCAATCTTAAGAAATGGGGCTACAGGGTGGAATCCACGGCATGCGAGTGCGGAGAAGAACAAACCACTGACCACCTGCTGCAATGCAACCTGAGCCCTGCCACATGCACCATGGAGGACCTTCTTGCGGCAATACCAGAGGCTCTCCAAGTGGCCAAATACTGGTCAAAGGACATTTAACCAACTACCAAGTCTGCAAAATCTGTGTTTTGTTTTTTTTTATCTGTGTGTTTGTTTTGTTCTGTTAGAAATGTAATACAATGGTATGGTTGCTGATGACACAATAAATAAATAACAGCCAGGTGATAAACAGGATCGGTTCTGAAGAAAAGAACGGCATGGTTCACAAATGTGTCTCCATTTGTGCAGTATATTATAATTTGTGGTCTGACACAATTGTCACCATCACTTTTAATTTATGCTGCTGAACAGAAAATCTCCCATCTGGAAAATAAAGAACATTAGGTGAAATCTTGTCCCTTTTCCTAATTCTTCTTGTTGTCTCTGCAGATGATATTGTCGGATTCTCGGGAGATTTTGGGAGTGGCGTTGGATGGGAAGACGAGGAAGAGAAAGAGACTGAGGAAGCCGGCGAGGAGGCCGAAGAGGAGGAGGGCGAAGCAGGCGAGGCAGATGACGGAGGCTACATCTGGTAGAAGCAACTCTAAGAGCACAGTTTGGTCAGGATGCTGGCTGTGGGGCTGGGAGGCAGCAGTCAAAACTCAAAAGGAGAGGAACAGCTTAACAAGATGATCAGGAAACACAGCTGAATGTAACTATGGCAGAACATGTGTGAATGTGTGTGCGTATGTACGTGTGCTTGACTGACTGAGCCCATTTTCTTTACACATGACTGTGGGGACGATCTGTTTTCTCCCAGCTTAGCAGAGGTCAAAAGCTGTGGCAAAGCAACATGGGTGAAAGGGAAGTGCGCAGAACTGTAGGCTCATTTAGTTAATTATTTGGGAAATATAATTTAATTTCTGAATTGTCAGTAACCCAGTTCAGCTCCTTGCCAGAGTCAAGGTATGAGAAATACAGTTGCCTGCTCCCCAACTCCCTGCATTTCTCGCTGTAGTATCTAGCAATATCATGTTTATCTAGGCACCGTTTGATACATATGTGTGTATGCATGTATGTATATACATACATAAATACACATCATGTTACACTGCTGGAATTTTGCAGTAATGCTCTGCAAACATCCAGCAGCTCAGATAGGTGTTTATGAATATTCATGAAAGCCAAGAAGACATGATCACCAGGATTTGCCTGACAGGCCAAGGACTAGAAGCATGCTTTCCTTTTTCAACTAAATGTCAAGAATCATATCATACAAGGTAAGATCACCTATTGTTGGTTGATCTACCATATCAAGGACTTTGCAGACCCATGAAGTGACCTGTAAGATAAAACCTTCCTGTAATATTTAGGTTAAGTATACTATTTTATTTATTTTATTTACAGTATTTATATTCCGCCCTTCTCACCCCGCAGGGGACTCAGGGCAGATTATAATGTACATATACATGGCAAACATTCAATGCCATAGACATACAACATATATAGACAGACACTCAAAGGCTATTTAACATTCCAGCTTCTGGCCACCAGGGGAGCTGTCGCTTCACCCTTCTTCATTCTTTGCATACTTCCTGGAAATTTTTATGGCCTCGTAAATCAGTTAAATTAGCTTCCCCACATAAGTGGTACCTAAATTTCCTACTTGATAGATGCAACTGTCTTTCGGGCTGCAAAGGTCAACAACAAGCTACACAATTTTTGTTGGAAACTCACTCCGACCAGGGCTGGCTTTGAACTCATGACCTTTTGGTCGGTAGTGATCTTAATGCAACTGACTCTCAGCCAGCTGTGCCACAATCCCGGTGGTACTAACAGTGAGTTAGAATACACTGACTCCCAGTCCCCTCTGATGGACTTGTACTGGCTCTGGAAAGCTTGCCTCCATTAAATCTCTAGTTGCTTTTTATTGGTTTTGCCAGCTAGAAGCTGTAGCATGAATGGTTTCCTAGTTGCCTCTGAATGCCCTGCTAGAGATACAGAGGAGTTTCAACCCAGAAGAGATGGAGAAAGTTGGTTAAGAACAAGATCTGAGTACTAAAGCTATTGGCTGTGGGGATCAGTTCACAGGGCAGATGGGCAACCCAAGACAAAGGGCCTTGGTGCCACCATAATAAAAAATCAAACCATAGCCCATCAGTGGGGCAAACCAACCTTCTCAACAGCTTGTTTCTGAATAATTCAAGATTTGGACTATTTTATCGCTATTTCCCAAAATGTATTTTTTGTCAAAGTGATGGGATTGCGTTTCCCGCCTACATGATGTCACTCCACCACAATACATTTTACATTCTTTTTTTTAGAGAGAGAATTACCCCACTTCCACTGCATTCAGAGATATTCAGTACTTTGTAGACATGTATTCTCACCAGTGTGCAATGGTCTGCATTGTGACCCCAGTGTGCTTTGCATCCAGCCATGTCCTTGTGCGACATAAACAAATGGTGTCCAAGTGTGTGTGCTTGTGCGCATGTGTAGAAAGAGGGTAGCCAGTGTGACTTACATTGAGTATTCCATAGCTTATGCAACCATTCCGGGTTAGACCCTTGTAGGCTTGATGTACTTTGGCATATCCTTCAAATATACAAAATAATTGAGGGTTTTCAAAATGACTTAACCTCCCAGCAAAGCCCTGCCACGTGTTTGCAGTGGCGACGTTAACAAAGAACTCTTGTGTAGCCCACCTGTGATAATAAAACACGCCTCGCTGTGTTGATCTTGCTACCTTCCTTCTTGCCCAGCCTTACTCTTTCTCTGCGTTCTATCTATACACTCTTTTGCACTCACGCACCTGCACTCATGCTTCACAAGCTTTCCTATATTCGATTTTTCTCCTCCTTTACTCTCTAGAGGGAATGATAGATTATGCCTGAGCAAGACTTAAAGGTGTCAGGACCAGAAGAGCAACCTTCTTAGGTCCTGCTGTTTTTTCTTAGAGATTGCAATGTAATATTTTCCCTCCCACTCTCCCTTCCTCATTTTCCTGCTACTAAGTGTCTGTTTGCATCTTGCTAATACATACTCAAGCTTCAGTTTCTGGTCCCTCCACTTCGTAATGTCCCCCTCCTTTCTTTTTCCATTGCCTTTGCGGTCTATCTCCTCTCTGTCCTCTCTGTCCCCTGCCTCTGTGTAGCTGGAACTGGGCATGGACTTCTCAGTTATGCATGTTGAATTGCCTGCAATTATATTGTTTAAATCACAGAATCAACTATTGCTAATTACACGGTTCAGAGCAGCATCCAGAAATTAGTCACAAATGAATATTATGGCCAGTTTATTGTTGAAGGCTTTTATGGCTGGAATCACAGGGTTGTTGTAGGTTTATCAGGCTATATGGCCATGTTCTAGAAGCATTCTCTCCTGACGTTTTGCCTGCATCTATGGCAAGTATCCTCAGAGGTTGTAACCTCACAACTTCTGAGGATGCTTGCCATAGATGCAGGCGAAACATCAGGAAAGAATGCTTCTAGAACATGGCCATATAGCCCGAAAAACCTACAACAACCTATGGCCAGTTATTCAATGGAATCGGACAAGATCAATACAAGAACTGTGTATTGATCTACGAGCCTTGTGGTTTAGGATTGCTCATCATCCATTCTGCCTTGACAGTGAGCCTGGATCAGACAATGGTATCACTTTTTCAAAGAGTCAAACTAGATGTGACAAGCCATGTCCAATGATGTTGACTCGCTGCCTCTTCTGAATTGTTTTTGTAGGTTAATGTCATAAAAAATGATAGCACTGTCTCATTATTCTGGTGGAAGCCACTAGAGGACGCTAGAGAGAGAAGAATAGACCATTTTATGGGGATGGAGGATCGGTTGAAAGAGGGAAACCATCCCCTCTTGTTTTCCGGTTATTCCTCCCCCCCCCCCTTACATCCCTATCATGGAAACAACCCTGGTTTATGATATGGGAGGGAGGATAATAACCAGGGAAAATGGGGGAAATTGTTTTCCTCCTTCAACTTTCTTCCCTGTTAAATGGACTATCCTTCTTTCTCTAGCGCCCCCTAGTGGTCCCCACTTGTATAATGGAACAGTACCAAAATGTATTGTCGAAGGCTTTCATGGCCGGAATCACTCAGTTCTTGTGGGTTTTTTCGGGCTATATGGCCATGTTCTAGAGGCATTTCTCCTGACGTTTCGCCTGCATCTATGGCAAGCTTCCTCAGAGGTGAGGTATGCTGGAGCTGGGAAACGTCAGAGAATGCCTCTAGAACATGGCCATATAGCCCGAAAAAACCCACAAGAACTGAGTACCAAAATGATTTGAAAACATATCTGCTCAAAAACATGATTAGCCATGATGCACAGGCGAGATTGGAAACATTGTTTTAAAACAAAATTATCCATTTATTTATTTCCCACATTTGTATACTGCCTTTCTCAGCCAGAGGCGACTCAAGGAGGTTCACAGTCGGCAGCGATTCAATGCCATAACAAATATCAAAATACAGTTAAAACAATTACAAAAACAATTCAACATTTAAAATGTAATATAAAAAACAAATATATCTGTAAAAACAAGATCCTCAGCGTCTCCACTGATGTTCCTTATGGTAGAAAAGCAAGCCATTGCTTTAATGGTCAATAATATCTTGCTAAAATGCTGTCCTTGGTTTCTGCATTTTTAATTAAGATCATTTGAAAAGACAAAAAAAGAGAATATCCAAAAACACCATTTTGAAATAATGAATAAATGAGAATCCTTGCTATATGTATTTCTACATCATATGGACATCAAAACAACAGAAAGTAATATTGTTGGCTATTGCTACTGAAAAAAAGTCACAGACAAGTAGCCAGTAACCCTGTTTCTTCTAAACTGTGGAAATATATATAACTACAATGGGAAATTATGACAGTACCATGATCAACCTTTTCTCTTTTTTAAAGAAAGAAAGCAAAGACTCATTTTTGTCTCCTGGCTTTGTCTACTCAAGGGGAAACTATGGGAATAAAGGTGTTCACTCTAGGAAGCAAGCATCGCTCTATCAATTCACTTCCAACTCTCTTTAAAAATTAAAACCAGAAAGACTTATTGTTTACATCTAACCCTTATTGGCTAGAATTCTGTATCAGCTTGTTCATTAATTAAGTGATATCTCCTAGCTTGATGTCGTCCATCCGTCATCGTATCCCTCCCCCCCCCCTCGCGCCACCATACATTACACACATACACCAAGTCAAAAATATCGTTTCCAGTGCTCCAATTGCGGTCAGAATGGACCTCCTTCTCCCCATTCAGCTGATGTCCAGTGAAATCGGTGTTTGGGGGGGGCGGGTATGATTTTGGGTACAGCTTCTCAATTGTGACTTAGTAGTGATCCTCAATATGGAACAGTTACCTAGATTTAGTCATTGGTGAGTCCCCCTAGAGGTGAGAAAAGCAGTATAGAAATACTGTAAATAAATAAATAAGTGCCCTATATTCACGATTTTTATAAAATTGTGATCTTTGGAAAGGCATTACTTATTTATTTATTTTTATTTATTTGGAACATTTGTATCCCGCCCTTTCTCGACCTCCAAAGAGGGGCTACCTTGTTAGAAATCATATCCTTTTGGAAAAATGATGCCATAACCTTTTGGGAAATGGAAATCTCCATAACCTTTTGGAAAATGGCATTTTGCCACCATTTTAGGAAAATCAGGAATCTCCTTGAGAAGAGTTTAAAACCCGCTTGAGTCAGCTTTCTCTTTAGTGTAAATAATATCCACTAGTATTCATAAAAGGCAATTAGGTTTCTCATCTGTTAATCTGATATACCTAGATATCTCTTTTAACTGTTAGGGACAAAGATGTGCCAATGCACAAAAACAGATATGTATAGCAGAGTTTCAGAAGTGTTCTCTTCAGTTGCCTAAAAAAATCTACTCTCCCTTAAACCATCTTGGTTTAAATTATGCTGTCAAGAGACAAAATAAGCCGACTTCTTTACAAGTAGCATAGTTGGCTTACTCACAAACTTCATGTATACAGTATACAGCAACTTTGCATACGAATTCAGTTACAGATAGGATTTGAAGTAGTTTTTTGTGTAGGTAACACAGAGCATCTTTCTCATAATCAACAGTCTAAAGCAGTGGTCCTCAAACTTTTTAAACAGAGTCACAGTCCCTCAAACTGTTGGAGGGCCGGATTAAAATTTGGGGGAAAAAAACATGAATGAATTCCTATGCACACTGCACATATCTTATTTGTACTGCAAAAAAACCCCTTAAAAACAATACAATAATTAAAATGAAGAACAATTTTAATAAATATAAACTTATTAGTATTTCAATGGAAAGTGTGGGCCTGCTTTTGGCTGATGAGATAGGATTGCCGTTGTTGTCGCTGTTGTTGTTGTTGTGTGCTTTCAAGTTGTTTCAGACTTAGGTTGACCCTGAGCGAGGGCTGGATAAATGACCTTGGAGGGCCGTATCCGGCCCTCGGGCCTTAGTTTGAGGTCTCCTGGTCTAAAGCATCTCTGATTTAATCAAGTCTCATGGAGTCATTTCTCTAAAGAAGTAGTTGTCAACCTGTGGTTCCCTCGATGTTTTGGCCTACAATTTATTTATTTATTATTTATTTTATTTACTTTATTTCTATACCGCTTTTCTCAGCCCTCTGGCGACTCA